GTGACAGATCAGGGAATCCCAGAGTGGTTTGGGGTGGGAGGGACCCTAAATCCCACCCAGTGCCACCCATCCATGGCAGGGACACCTCCCATTGTTCCAGGTGGATCCAACCTGGCCTTGGACACTGCCAGGGATCCAGGGACAGCCACAGCAAATCTGGGAATTCCAGCCCAGCCCCTCCCAGGAAAGAATTTCCCCCAAATTTCTGAATTATTAGTGAGGGGAATGGCAGATTTGTCTTTCCAAACAAGCTGTGGGTCTGCTGGTAGATAAAACCAGCACTGGGAGATAAATGAAACAATGGGAAGGATTTCAGTGATTGATGAATGGAAAAAGATATTTGCTTTTACAAATAAACTTTGGGTTTGCTGAGAAATGAAATTAGACATTGAGAGATGAAAGAAACAATGGCGAAAAAGCCCTAAATTCCATAGGAATGAAAAGTTAAAAGGAAGGATTGTACATTAGAGGGAAATCTTTAGTGTCAGGTGTATCAGGAAGTCTGAACCTCTCAAGTACCTCAGAAATGGGGAAAAAACCCTAAGTTCCATAATAATTAAAAATTAAAATGGAGGGTTATACAGTAGAGGGAAATCTCTGGTATCAGGTGTTTTGGGAGGTCTGAAGCCCTCAAGTACCTCAAAAATGGGGAAAGAGAGAAAGGAAATGTGTCTGGAAATTGGGATAAAAAGGAGGCTGTGTCCTCCAAAAATTGGAGAGACCCCAGGGGAATGCCCCATGACCTCTCCCTTTATTGGAATGAAGCCAAAGGACGCCTCTGTCTCCTTTTTGGACATAAACCTCTGGTGTTTGTGGATTATTTATCCTAACATTGGGAATTGCTGGGGCTTGTTTTTTGTTTTGGGTTTTGGTTTTTTTTTTTTTTTTTTTGCCTTGTGTTTTGTATGCAGCTCTGTAAAAACCAATCCTGAATAGAAAAAAAAGTTCCTTTGGCTTCCAGTGAGGAGAAGGAGCTGGGAATGAGCAGGGGCTGACCTGGATGAGGGGATGCCAACACTGAGGCTGCTCTGCACTTCTCTGAGAGTGAAATCACGAGTGCCAGGCTGGGAGCAGCACACAAAGGGATGTTTGTTGGGCAGGGGCAGGCAGCAGGGCCAGGAACTGCAGGGAGGGAGCCCAAGGAGCCCTGGTGGGCTGGGATTGAGCCTGGCCCTAGGATTGAGTATGGCTCTGGGATTGAGCTCTGGGATTGAGCCTGGCTCTGGTTTGAGGAGCCAAGGAGCCCTGGTGGCTCTGGGTCTGAGCCTGGCTCTGGTTGAGTGGGGCCCAAGGAGCCCTGGTGGTTCTGGATTTGAGCCTGACTGTGGTTTGAGCAGAACGCGTGGAGCCTTGGTGGCTCTGGGATTGAGCTCTGGGAATGAGCCTGGCTCTGGTTGAGTGGAGCCCAAGGAGCCCTGGTGGCTCTAGGTTTAACCCTGGCTCTGGGTTTGAGCCTGGTTCTAGTTGAGGTGGAGCTCAAGGAGTCCTAGTGGTCTGGGTTTGAGCTTGGCTTGCTTTAAGCCTGGCTCTGGATTTGAGGCTGGCTCTGGTTGAGTGGAGCCCAAGGAGCCCTCATGGCCCTGGGATTGAGCCAGGTTCTGGGTTTGGGCCTGGTTCTAGTTGAGGTGGAGCCCAAGAAGCCCTGGTGGCTCTGGGATTGAGCCTGGCTCTGATTTAAGCCTGGCTCTGGATTTGAGCCTGGTTCTGGGTTAAGCCTGGCCCCAGTTTAACCCTCATGGTCTGGGTTTGAGCCTGGCTCTGGATTTGAGCCTGGCTCTGGGTTAAGCCTGGCCCCAGTTTAAGCCTGCCTCTCAGAGCACTCTTGCTCTGGGGCAATGAGGCCCTGACTCATCAGAGTTCCACAAACCTGTTCAGGCCCAGCCTCTCTGGTGGTTTTGGAGCTCTCTGACCCCGGAATGGGCAAGTTCAGGCAGCAGCACCTAGAAACAAATCCCTCATGGCCTCCTGCCCTGGAAACAAATCCCTCCCTGCCTCCTGCCCTGGCACAGAATTCCCAGAACATACCCAGCTGGGGCTGCCCCTGGATCCCTGGCAGCGCCCAAGGCCAGGCTGGACATGGGGCTGGAGCAGCCTGGGACAGTGGGAGGTGTCCCTTGCCATGGCAGGGGTGGCACTGGGTGGATTTGGGGTCCCTCCCATCCCAAACCATTCCCTGATTTTGGGGTTTGGGCACTCCCAGCTCTCCAGCCATGGCAGGGAATGTGGGGCTGGGATCACACCAGGCTGGGGCTGAGCTGCTCAGGCCTGGCCTTGAGCTGGGCCTTGGCCTGGGCTGGGCTTGGCCAGGCAGGGGCTCAGTGCCAGCCCAGGCCTGACCCTGGCACAGGCAGCAGCCCCCCCAGGGCCTGGGCAGCTGGCAGAGGGGAGCTGGGCATTCCAGGGGGCATTTCCATGTGCCCCTGGAACCTGGGCTCTCCTTCCCCCTCCTTTGTCACCACTCCTTGGTCAGGGGGTATAAAACACTGATGTTCTATTTCATTCCATTTAATTTCCATTTAATTTCCATTTAATTTCCATTTAATTTACATTGAATTCCATTAATTCAATTTCATTCCATTTCATTCCATTTCATTCCATTTCATTCCATTTCATTCTGTTATTTTCCATCTAATTCCATTTAATTCCATTAATTGCCATTTAATTCTATTAATTTCCATTTAATCTCATTAATTTTCATTTAATCCCATTAATTTCCATTGAATTATGTTAATTTCTATTTAATTCCATTAATTAAAATAATTTATATGAATTTCCATTGAATTGCCATTGAATACCATTAATTTCAATTTAATTCCATTAATTTCCGTTTAATTCTGTTAATTTCCATTTCATTCCATTAATTTACACTGAATTCCACTAATTTCTGTTTAATTCCATTTAACTTGCTTTAATTCCTTTTCATTCAATTAATTTCCATTTCATTCCATGAATTCCAATAATTTCTATTAATTTCCATTAAATTCCATTCATTCCATTTGGTGTTGCTGTTCTCTGTGTGGCACAGAGATAAAGGCAGGGGGGGAAGCCAAGGCCACTCAAATTTAGAATCCCCACATCCTGCTGGTGGTGAAGGCAACAATCCCAGCTGGTTAGCAGTAAATCCAACTGGTTAGCAGTAATTCCAACTTGTTAAACAGCAATCCCAGCTGGTTAGCAGCAATTCCAATTGTTTAACTGTAAATCCAACAGGTTAGCAGCAGTCCCAGCTGGTTAGCAGTAATCCCAAGTGTTACCAGTAAATCCATTATTGGTTAGCAGTAATTCCAGGTGTTTAACAGTAATCCCAGCTGGTTAGCAGTAATTCCAGGTTGTTAGCAGTAATTCTAGGTGTTTGTTTAGCAGCAGTCCCAGCTGGTTAGCAGTAAATCCAACAGGTTTGCAATAATTCCGGGTGTTTAACAGTAATTCCAGCTGGTTAGCAGCAATTCCAGTTGGTTAGCAATAATTCCAGGTGTTAGTTTAGCAGCAGTCCCAGCTGGTTAGCAGCAATTCCAGCAGGGCAGCAGTAATCCCAAGTATTTAGCAATAATTCCAGGTGTTTGTTTAGCAGCAATTCCAGCTGGTTAGTTTAGCAATAATTCCAGCTGTTAGTTCAGCAATAATTCCAGGTGTTAGTTTAGCAATAGTTCCAGCTGTTCAGCAGTAATTCCAGGTGTTTAGCAATAATTCTAAGTTGTTAGCAATAATTCCAGGTGTTAGTTTAGCAAAAATTCCAGCTGTTAGTTTAGCAGCAATCCCAGCTGGTTAGCAGTAATTCCAGCTGGTTAACAGTAATTCCAGGTGTTTGGCAGTAATTCCAGGATGCTAGCAGCAATTCCAGCTGTTAGTTCAGCAGCATCCCAGCTGCCCTGGGCTCTGTGGGATGGGCAGGGGCTGTGGCTGCTGCTCTGGGGTTGCTCAATTCCTGACTCAGGGATTGCTCACTCCCCACCCACCCCTGGCACGTGTTGGGAGGGCTCTGCCATCTGCAGGGATCCCACACCCAAAATAAAAGGGAGGCAGCAAAATGTCAAACTCAAATCCACTCAGAAATGCCAGAATTAGCATTAATTAGATCCATGCTAATTAAAAAACGCTGTTCTTTTTTCCTGGAGTTGTGTGGAGCTGTTCTGTTCCATTGGGGGGGTACTTTTTTAATTTTTTGGGTGCAGAATGTGGAGGAATGCTGGAGTTTGTGGGGTCAGCAGTGCCCTGGACAAGGCCCTTGCAGAGGGATCCCTGCAGGAATCAGGAGGGGATCAATGGAGGAGCAGGGAAACAGCAGCACCATGTTCTGGTGTGGTTAAACACCATTCCCACTGCTCCTTCCCCACTCCATGCCCATATTTATAGCCCAGTAGGATCTGGGCCATGTGAGGATGGAGAATTCCCAGAGCTCCTGGTGTCCCTGGCCATGATCCATGCCCCCAGGGACTCTGGGTGATCAGGCGAGGCCACTGGGCTGCCCTGAGCATTCTCAGGAATTCTCCTGCCCCAGGATCCTGGAATGCAGCTGGGCAGGAGTGATGATGTTCATGTGTCCCAATCCCTCAATATTTCATGGTCTGGTGCTTGGAGTTGGTACAAACCCCACTGACATTTTTATTTTCACTGTCTAAATACTGAGTCATGTTTTCTCCTTTCCCCTGCTGTTTCACAGATCCTCTCCCCTCCTTGCAGACTTTTCCTGGCTCTGGAGGTGCCCAGGGTGCAGCTCTGAGCAGCCTGGGCTGGTTCTTGGTGGCACTTTGGAATAATCCAGGCTGGCTGTGCCTGTGTAGGGATGGAGAAGCTGGGAAGAGCCTGAGGAGGCTTTTGCTGGGAGCAAAGGGAGGGATCCATGGAATCCTGGAGTGCTTTGGGTTTCCTATCCTAAATCACCAGCAAAAACCTCCTGTATTGTTTATTTTCAGCTGATGCTTCATTCTGCAAAGGAAATAAACCCTGAAAGGCAATTTCTCACTGAATGTGATTATTGTTTTTTGTGTCTTGTTTTTTAGAGTTCATTCTATGGCAGATTCAGGCACTTCCTGGACATCATCGACCCCCGCACTCTGTTTGTGACTGAGGTAATGCCTGCACTCCTCTTTGGGACAGGGCTGGGTGTCAGACAGCTGGAGGTGAAACCCAATCCCTCCTGTGAGCAGCAGAAGTGCTGAGCCCGTGTTTGCAGTGGGTTTGTGTCCCTCAGGTGATTGATTGCCCCAAGGAGTGAGAGCTGGTGAATCTGGAACAGAAACCTGCTGGTAAATCTGGAACAGAAACCTGCCTGGCACCAGGGAATCCTCACCCCCAGCTCCCTCTGCCACCCGAGCTGGCTTTTGGCAAAACTGCCTCTGATTTTGTCCTGTCAGGAAGAAAATCCCTGCAGGTTTTCATGGCAGAAATGCAGGTGGGGGGATGAGAGAGCAAATATGAATTGCATGGGGGAGTGAAGTTGTGGTGCAACTCTGCAGGGGCTGCACCCCAGGGCTCTGGGCTGTGGTTTTTCCTCAGCTCTTGGCCTGGTTTTTCCTCACTTCTTGCCCTGTTTGTAGCAGATTTTGGGGATCCTGCCCCTTCATTTCCATCTGGTGTTGCCCAGCTTTACCTCAGCTCTGTGCTTCCACCAGACAATGGCTGAGGGTGAAGGGGAGCCCTGGGGAAGGAACAGTTCTGCTCCTGCTCTGGAACTGTGCCCTTTGGCCAGGAAACTTTGGCATTTCAGTGAAGGGCAGCTGCTTTTTTCCTTTTTATTGTATCTTTTACTCAATGTCTACCCTGAACCTCCTGTCCCTGTTCCCTGACTGTGCCCTCCTGGCAGGAGCTGTGCAGAGCCACAAGGGCCCCCTGAGCCTCCTTTGCTCCAGGCTGAGCCCCTGCCCAGCTCCCTCAGGGATTGTGCAGCCCCTGCCCAGCTCCCTCAGGGATTGTGCAGCCCCTTCCCAGCTCCCTCAGCCCCTCCTGGGGCTCCATTCCCTTCCCAGCACGTTTTAAGGCTGAATTTCTGCTGCTCCTGGGGGATTTTCCTGCTGGGGGCTCTGCAGGGATGCAGAGGGGTTTGGGCTGAGCTCAACTCCTGCTCTGAACCCCTTGGGGTGATCCCTGGCCTTCCCCTGGTCACCTGTTCAAAAAAGCCTTCCCAGATTTTTGGGATGTGGGTTCAGAGGGATCAGCTGCTGTAACTTCATTTTGGGGAGGTTCCTTCAGGAAGGTGAAATAAAAAGGAATAAAAAGAACCAAGCCTGAGTGGCCCAGTTTGATCCTGGGTGCAAACTGAGCAGTTTTGGGTGCCAGAGTGAATCCCAGCAGAGCAGGGAGGGCTGGTGTCCATCTTTGGGACTGAGCTGAGCTTCAGGAATGGCCTGGGGGCACTGCAGGGAGGGAAATGCTCTCTGACATTTCCTCTGGGGTGTGAATTCCATGGCAGGGATGCCTCAGGAAACCTGAACATCCTCATGGCCCCATAAACTCCCTTTCCCTGGAGAAGCCTCTTGGCAGGACAATCCCCTGGGTGACTCCTCAGGGCACAAAATCTGCTTTTTGCTCACAATGATTTGGGGTGTGCAGATGAAGAACTCCAAGGTTTTTTGCTTTCCTTTGTTAGCTGAGGGGGTGAATGAAAGGCAGGAGGGGTTTGCTGAGCCCAGGCTGGGCAGGGAGCTTCTGGCTGCATCTCCCAGGGCTCAGGGAATAAATAAATCCCTGCTTGCCTTGGAGGGGGAAAAGAGAAGATAAATCAGTGTCTGATGGGAGTGGAGGTGAATCCCATGGAAAATGCTGGGAAATGGGGTGCTACTCAATTTAAAAAATATTTTAAAAATATTTTTATTTTATTGTAAATATTTTTATTTTGAATTTTTTACATCTTTATTTTAATCCTTTTTTTTTGGTGGCTGTGTGCTCCATGGTGGCATCCTGTGGGGGGGGATGGAGGGGTGAGGGGTGTTTAGGATCACCAGTACCACTCCTCCCTTGGCATTTATTTCTCTATAAAGCAGATTCTGTGCACAATCAGGAACTTCCTTGTGCTCCAGAGGTCCCTGAGGAGGGATCCTGGGGGGATGGCCCTGGGTCCTGCTGGGGCTGTTCTGCTTTTATCTGCTGGGGACACTCACCCTGTGGCACCGGGCACAGCTGGGGACACAGGGGCTGCTGCAGCACAGCCCTGGCTGGGGTGGCAGTGAGGTGGCACTGGTGGCAGCAGTGGTAGTGAGGTGGCAGTGCTGGCACTGGGGTGGCAGTGAAGTGGCAGTGGGTTGGCAGTGAGGTGGCAGTAGTGGCAGTGCAGGCAGTGGTGGCTGTACTGGCAATGGGGTGGCGGTGAGGTGGCAGTGCTGGCAGTGAGGTGGCAGTGATGGCAATGAGCTGGCAGTGGTGGCAGTACTGGATATGGTGGCAGTGAGGTGGCAGTGGTGGCTGTGGGGTGACAGTGGTGGCCATGGTGACAGTGGTGGCAGTGAGGTGGCAGTGTTGGCTGTGGTGGCAGAGCTGGCAGTGAGGTGGCAGTGAAGTGACAAAGGTGGCTGTGGTGGCAGTGGGGTGACAGAGGTGGCAGTGGGGTGGCAGTGAGGTGGCAGTGAGGTGGCTGGCAGCAGTGGCAGTAGAGTGGCAGTGCTGGCAGTCCTGGCAGTGGGGTGGCAGTGAGGTGGCAGTGGTGGCAGTGAAGTGACAGAGGTGGCAGTGCTGGCAGTGGGGTGGCAGTGATGGCAGTGAGGTGGCAGCAGTGGCAGTATTGGCAGTGCTGGCAGTGGGGCGACAGAGATGGCAGTGTGGTGGCAGAGCTGCAGCCCCTCTAGGGAGGATCTTTGGTGCCTCTCCTTCACCTTTGGTGCCTCTCCTTCAGCTTTGGTGGCTCTCCTTCACCCCCAGTGCCCTTCCATTGGAACCGTGTCCTGGCAGCTGCACATCTGCAAACTGCTGCCCTCAGAGGGACCCTGTGTCCTGCAGGGTCACCACTGCTGTCCCCAAGGTGCCCCTCAGGGTGCAGGGCGTGGCCTGGGGACATGGGAGGGCGAAATTATTGCAGTAATAATTTAATTGCTGTGGATGAGGAAGGTTCCAGTGCAGGGCCTGGATGGGGATGTGTGGGGGCCAAATGATTGCAGTAATAATTTAATTACTGTGTAATGGGGAAGGTCCATGGGGAAGCAGATACTCTGATCAGGGGGACTCACCCCAGTGCCATGAGCACCCTGTGGGAAGGAGGGAGCGCTCGCAGTAATTCCCAGTGAAATCAGAACCCAGGAGAGCTCCAGGGGCTGCCTCTTGCTGCCTTTGCTGTGTCTCATTGTTCGGAGCCTGGAGCTGCAGAGCATCTTGCATTGCCATATTTGGGGCTGAGATGGAAGCAGGATTAGATGTATGTTATTTATATGAACCATACCTTCTTACTCAGCAGATTGCCTGTCTGTGTTTATTCAGTGTCACAGCTGCTGGCTCCACTCGAACAAAAAGTTTCTGGCTCCTCTTGTCTGTCACTGTGGATCCAATACAATGGGGCCAGCTGGAGTCAAGTCTGGTGTCTGTGTGTCTATGTCATCCTGGGGAGCCCAGGGACAGAGCCCAAACTGGGCTGGGCCACAGCTGCCCCTCCACAGCTGCATCCATCCCTCCAGAGCTGCATGCCCCCAATACATCCCCCCAGAGCTGCATCCCCCACCCAGAGCTGTGCAGCTGCTGGTGGTGGCCACAGGACCCTTGGATTGGGGTACATCCCCCCCCTTGGGTTGGGGCACATCCCCCCTTGGATTGGGGTACATCCCCCCCCTTATTTTGGGGCACATCCCGCCTTGGATTGGGGCACATCCCCCCTGAGCCATGGCTGGGCTGGAGGTGGGACCCCAGAGCTCAGGGCACACAGAGATCCTGCCCAAAATGCCAGGGTGACAACAGTCCCAGGGTGACAACAGTCCCAGGGTGACAATCCCAGGGTGACAATCCCAGAGGTGATGCCAGGCTGTCCCTGAGCCCAGGGTAACAATCGCAGGGTGACAGTCTGAGGGTGACAGTTCCAGTGTGAGCCTGGCGTGACATTCCCAGGGGTGACACCAGACTGTCTCCTGAGCCCAGTGTGAAAATCCCAGAGTGACAACCCCAGAGTGACAGTCCCAGGGTTACAGTCCGAGGGTGACAATCTCAGAGTGAGCCCAGGGTGACAGTCCCAGAGTGATAATCCCAGGGGTGACAGTCCCAGGGTGACACCAAGCTGTCCCCTGAGCCCAGCTCATCTCTGGTGTCCCCAGAACCCGGTGCAGGCCTGGCCCTGCAGTGGCTGTGGCAGGAGGGTGGTGCTGCTGGCACTGCCCTGCTGTGCCCTGTGTGTCACACCTGGGCTCTCAGGCTGCTGGCACTGCCCTGCAGTGATGGCTCTGGCAGTGCTGGGATGGTTGGAATGGTCTCAGAATTCCAACCTGAGCAGTTCTGGGGTTCTGTCCCTCCCACTGCTCAGGGGCTGGGCTGGGTGCAGCAGCTGGCAGGGCTTGCTCCATGCTCTCCTGTCCACAAGGTCCCTGCAGGTGCTGTCCTGGCCCTGGTGACTCCAGTTTGTGCCCAGGAGCCCCTTGGCAGGGGCTGGATCCAAACCCAGCAGAGATCCCAGGGATGGGGGCTCATCCCAGCTGGGGTGGCACATGCACAGCCCCCCCAGGCTGAGGGACCAGCCCTGCCCCATTCCCTGCCTCTTTCCCAGCTGGAATCTGAGCCCTGGCCCATTCCCTGGCCCATTCCCAGTTGCAGTCCCAGCCCTGGTGTTTTCCCTGTCCCATCCCCAGCTGGAATCTGAGCCCTGGCCCATTCTCTGCTCCTTCCCCAGCTAGAATCCCAGCCCTGGCTCATTCTCTGTCCCATCCCATTTGGAATCCAAGCCCTGGCCCATTCCCTGGCCCATCCTAACCCTGGACCATTCCCTTCCCCTTCCCCAGCTGGAATATGAGCCCTAGCCCACTCCCTGCTCCTTTCAGAGCTGCAGTCTCATCCCAGTCCCATTCCCTGTCCCACCTCAGCTGGAATCCCATTCCCTGCCCCATTCCCAGCTGCAATCCCAGCCCTGGCCCATTCCCTGCTCCTTCCAGAGCTGCAATCCCATTCCCTGCCCCATCCCCAGTTCACCCACAGCTGGAGCCCTGTCCCAGCTGTTTCCAGCTGTTTTCAGCTGTGCTCCCCCTGCCGAGGCTGGGCTGGGTGCTGTCCCTGTCCCTGTTCCAGCTGTTCCTAGCTGTGTTATCCCTACCCTGCCCGTGCTGTCCCTGTCCTTGTTGTCCCTGTCCCAGCTGTTCCCAGCTGTTGCCAGCTGTGCTGCCCTGCCCTGCCTGTGCTGTCCCTGTCCCCAGGGCTGCAGGAGCTGCTGCTGCTGGCAGGGCTGAGCTCTGAGCACATCCTGCTGCAGATGGTCTGTCTGGCACCCCTCGGTGAGAGCTCAGACCCCAGCAGCCACCACTAGAAGTGCTCGAGGATTTTCCCTCTGAGGAAAGGGGCTCTGCAAGGAATCAGACACTCCAGGCAAAAAAAAAAAAAAAAAAAACCTAAAAAACTAAAAAAAAAACCCAAAAAACCATAAAAATAACCCCCCAAAAAAACGTGGTTGTGGGTTTGTTTTTAATCAGGGATGCTGTAAAATCTCGAGTGACACTTCATCCCACAGGCAGCAGCAGCAGAGAAAGCAAACACCAATAAACATTGAAACAGGGGCACAACCTTGCAGAGAGCTGGGGCTGCTGCTGAGGAGGAGCTGTGGTGAAATGTTGATATCAGCAGCCATGGATGGAGCTGTGGTGAAATGAAATGTTGATATCAGCAGCCATGGATGGAGCTGCAGGGAGCAGGGAGAGGAGCTGGATATGCCTGGCACTTGGAGCTGGTGATGTGGCAAAGTTTGCTCCAAAACACCTGGGTTTTTGCAGATTCTGGTTAAAAAACCTGCCTGACTGTCCCAGAAGGAATAGGAGGCAACCCTGAATTTTCCCTATATTTGGAGGCTGGGGGTGTTTGCTGAAAGCACCTGAGCAGCTCAGAGCTGTGTGAAAGGATCTCCTGAGCTCAGTTTAACATCTTGTTCACTTTCTGTGCCACCCTTTTGTCCCCCTCAGGACTTCCTCCTTTCTTTCTCTGTAATAGTATATATTATTATCGATACTCTATAATAGTACATATTTTATCCATATTATATACTTTCCTCATTCCTTTATCTGAAAAAGTCCCTGTTGGACATATTACAATATATTTTTCACAGTTCTGTTTTTTTAAAGTATATAGTCTTATTTGTAAAGCCATCTTTTGAAACTTATTTCTGGTTCTGTTTTTCTCTCAACAATGCCTGTCTTATTCTATATACTTTTTAATTAGTATTTCTTCTCTTAAAGTTTGCATACGGATATATGTTTTTTTTCTCTCAACCATGTCTGCCTTATTCCATATATTTTAAAGTATTTCCTCTCTTAAAGTTTGCATAGAGATATATATATTTTTTCTCTCAACCATGTCTGCCTTATTCCATATATTTTAAAGTATTTCCTCTCTTAAAGTTTCCATACAGATACATACTGTGTAAACTTTTGGTTAAGTTTTGAACATTTTTTACAAATCTGTTTCCCACAGTTCCCCTCTGTCCCCGTGGAGCTGGGAGAGGGAATTTGTGGAGACTGAGGTTTTTAAAAGCCAGGCTGAGCTTTTTTGTTTGCTGTTTGTTACCATTCTAAACAAGATGGGATCTGGCCAGGGTTGTTATAGTAACTACTGAGATTTCCTCAAGAGAAAGGGAAAAAATAGCAGCAGCCCCATTCATGCCTTGCTGCAGCTCTCCATTCAGAGCTGCTCTGCAAGAGGGGAGGGGACTGCAGGGACAAAACCACGTCCCTGTAATGAGCACAATTATTTAATTATGCAGCATTATATATGGTTATATTTATAAATAGAAATAGTAGTTAATGTAATGTAAATAATGGTTAATGCAATGCAATATATGGAATAGAGAATATAATATAGTATATAATGATATAATATAGTATTATATGATATATAATATAGTATATAGTATATAATAATATATAATAGGTTATATAATATATTATATAATACTAGTATAAATAGTATATAGTATATAATGATACATAATGTAGTATATAATAATATATTACTAATGATATAGTTATTATATTATATTATATTATATTATATTATATTATATTATATTATATTATAATCTTACTAATTATATGTTTATATATTACATAATATATAATTTTCTATTTACATGTAATTATATTTCTAAATAGAAACAGTAACTAATATAATATAATATAATATAATATAATATAATATAATATAATATAATATAATATAATATAATATAATATAATATTTTTAGCCCCCTGGTCCAGTGGGAGGTGTCCCTGGCCATGCAGGTGAAGATCCCTTTCCCCCCCAGGGTTCCCTGATGTGATTTCCTGGATTCCCCCATTTATCCTGGTTTATTTCCCTTGCAGAGCCGGCTGAAGGAGGCAGTGCAGCTGCTGGAGGATTACAAACATGGCACTCTGCCCCCAGGAGTCACCAACAAACAGGTCAGAGGGGAAAACCCTTCCATTTCTGCTTCTTCCCTGGGGAGGGCTCTGCTCAAGGGCATTTCTGGTGTTTCTGGGGACAAACACTGACTGCTCACACTGTTACAGGGAAAAAATGTCAGTTTTTTTAGCTGGATTAAAGTTTTTTGTCATTGCTGTGAGTTCTTTAGCAGCAGCTGTGTGGCTCAACCCTTGCCCTGTTCCTGTAAAATAATTTCAATTTGTCCCCAGTTCCCAGTCTTGTCTGGGCTATTCCTGCACAATAATTTCCATTTCTGTCCCAATTCCAAACTCGTCTGGGCTGTTCCTGTACAATAATTTCTATTTCTGCCCATATTCCAACCTTATCTGGGCTGCATCAGCCCCTGCTCTGTTCCTGTGCAATAATTTCCATTTCTGCCCCAATCCCAGCCTTGCCTGGGCTGCACCAGCCCCTGCTGGAGCTGTGCCAGCAGCAGTGGGGACATTCCTGCCCCAGGGATGGGAGCAGGAGGGTGTGGAATGCTCAGGGATGGTGTTCCTGAGGAAAAGATCATTTTTGGGATGTAGGGATGGGCTGGGTGATCTCTCCAGGACCACATCAGTCCCATTTTCTGGGCTTTTCCCCCATATTCCTCTGCAAGTCGTGGAAGCAGGGATGAGAATTTCAGAGGAATCAAACTGCTCTTGGAGTATTTTACCTGCAAGTCAGTGCTGTGAAACAAAAAACATGCATTTTTTTGTGGGTGTTACCTGAAACTCTTCCCCATTCCTGTCCATGTTACCTCAAACTCTTCCCCATTCCTGTCCATGTTTTTTTCCCAGAATATGGAGTTTTTGCCCAGAATATGGAGGTTTTTACTCGTAATATAGAGGTTTTTGCCTGAAATATGGAGGTTTTGCCCAGAATATGGAGTCTTTACCCAAAATATGGAGGTTTTTGTCTGAAATATGGAGATTTTGCTCAGCATATGGATGTTCTTACCTAGAATATGGAGGTTTTTACCTATAATATGGAGGTTTTGCCCAGAATAGGGAGTTTTTACCCAGAATATGGACATTTTTACCCATAATATGGAGTTTTTTACTTGGAATATGGAGGTTTTGCCTGAAATATGGAGGTTTTGCCCAGAATATGGAGGCTTTTCCTGGAATAAGGAGTTTTTACCCATAATATGGAGTTTTTGCCCAGGTTGTTCCAGGCTGCTGCCAAAGCTGGGATTGGCACAGGGTGTGCTCTCTCTGCTGATCCTGCCAGGAGATGGAGAGCACAGACTCCACCAGGGCTGTGGGATCTTCTCTTGACCATGACACCAACCCAGGGGCTTTTCATGGCTCAGTTTGTGCATCCAGCACAAAAGGACCCAGCTCTGTGTGATTTCATGTCCTGTAAAGCTGGATTGATGTCAGGGCTGCCTGAGAGGTTGAACTCCCCAATAAAAAGGGATGGAAGTGCTGGGATGGGAGCTTTTCCCCCACACCCTGTAGGTCAGAAATCTTCTTTCATCTTTTTTCCCATTCACAACTATAATTCCTTCTCAGCAGAGACAAATAACAGGAGGAAAATTAAGGAAATTCAAACTCCTGCTCCCTTCAGAAGGGGCAGCTGGTGTGGAAGGTGCTGTGCTGGGGAACAGGAACAGCTCCCACAGAAAATCAATGGGAAATTGTCACAAGGCAGTGGCTGGGGCTCTCCTGGTGTCACTGTGCTCTTCCAGGCAGCACATGATGGGGAGGAGAAGGGATTGAGAAGGAGGAAGGGATGGGAAGGAGAAGGGACTGGAGGGAAGGGACTGAGAAGGAGAAGAGACTGAGGAGGATAAGCTGTTGGGAAGGAGAAGGGACTGGGGAGGAGAAGGGATTGATTGGGGAGGAGAAGGGGTTGGGAAGGAGAAGAGATGGGAAGGTGGAAGGGATGGGAAGGAGAAAGGATTGGGAAGGAAAAGGGACTGGGAGGCAGGAGGGAGGAAGGGATTAGGAAGGAGAAGGGACTGGGGAGGAGAATGGATGGGAAGGAGGGAGGGATTGGGAAGGAGAAGGGGTTGGGAAGGAGAAGGGATTGATTGGGAAGGAGAAGGGACTGGGGAGGAGAATGGATGGGAAGGAGGGAGGGATTGGGAAGGAGAAGGGGTTGGGAAGGAGAAGGGATTGATTGGGAAGGAGAAGGGACTGGGAGGAAGGAGGGACTGGTAAGAAGGGGTTGGGAAAGAGAAAGGATGAGAACGAGAAGGGGCTGGGGAGGAGAAGGAATTTATTGGGGTGGAGAAGGGATTGAGGAGGAAGGGATGGGAATGAGAAGGGACTAGGGGAAAGGAACTGGGAAGGAGAAGGGTTTAGGGAGGAGAAGGGATTGTTTGGGAAGGAGAAGGGATGGGAAGGAGGGATTGGGAGGGAGAAGGGATTGTTTGGGAACAAGGAGGGAAGGGAAGGAGGGATTGTGAGGGAGCAGGAGTGAGGCAGCAGTGAGTGAGTGAGGGAGCAGGAGTGAGGCAGTGACTCAGCCCCATCTGCCCGAGGCAGATGACACACAGCCACTCTCTGTGACAAATGACACACAGCCACTCTCTGTGACAAGTGACACACAGCCCTCTCTGTGACAAACCACTTTGCAGACTTTTGACCCACATTTTGTGGAGTGACAAAGCCGGGATCTTCCCAGGGTTCATTCAGAATTCCACTGGGGGAGAGGCTGAGCAGGCTGGGAGGGAATCCAGGGCAGGGAGGGGAAGGAAATCCAAAACACAACAGAAGACTGAAGAGAGAAAATATAATGGCAGAGGATTTTTCCCCACCTTGTGCTGATAAACACAGTGGAGTTTTTGCCCTTTAATTGTGAGAGTGGAGCAGCACGGGGCTCATCTGTGCCCCTCAGAGCCCTTGGACTGGACGTGGCACACCAAGGAATGTCTGAGAGGGCTGAGGGAGAGCCACACTCACCTCAGAGGCTCAGAACTGATGGGGTCTCTGGTCTCCGGTGTGGAGATGACCCCGAGGTGTTGGAAAGTCTCTTTTTCCCAGCCCCAAGACTGAAGAAGAAGTCGAGGAATCTCATTCTCAAGATTGTTTATTTGCTGTTATCTAATTCATTGTCTGTCTGTTCTGCTGAGGTCTGTCCAGCAGGTCGGGTTGGGGCACACTGACACCCTCAGGGCAGTGTTAGCTTTTTATACTAAAATACTTTATTTACAATAATTTTTCAATGCCCATCACCTATGTTAGACAGTCTGTCTCCACTCTAAACCAACCCAAAAGTGTCAACATCACAGCAGAAGGTGGAGGACAAGAAGAAGAAGGACAGGACATGCCCAGATTCTTCCATCCTGCCTTTTGAACCCCCATTCTAAAAACCCCAAAATTCTACTTTTCCAAAATTCTACTTTTTCCACACCCTCAGGCTGGTGTTATTTTTTTATACTAAGAACTACATGTACTTTATTTACAATTACTTTTCAATACCTATCCCCTATGTTAGACAGTGAGCTTCTACCTTAAACCGATCTAAAAGTGCCACCATCACAGCAGAGGATGAAGGACAAGAAGGAGAAGGACAGAACGTGCCCAGATTCCTCCATCTTGCATCTTGAACACCCATTCTAAAACCCCAAAATTCTACTTTTCCACTCTGTGACAAATTCACCATCATTCTATTCAAACCTTTGTGGCTTGTAACTCCTCACACAAAGTTGGGAATTGTTTCCACGGGCTAAAATCCAAGGCACAGGTGGCTGTGTCTCCGTGCCAAGGTCTCTGAGCCCCTGCCAGGGTCTGGAGTCCTCCAGTGTTGGAATCCAGGAAATTCCTCTGGGACCCAGGACATCCCTCTGGCTGCCCTGGATGGCTCCAGCCCCTGGCAGGGGGCTCAGAGACCCTGGCACAGAGCCCAGGACCCCTGTTTGGGGGGGCCTTTGATCTTGACCCATGGAGCCAATCACCATCTTTATATGAAGAATTACAAGACAAGAGAGTTTAAGTAGAATAATAGTTTGTCATGGGGTAAAACATAGATTTTTGGGATTTTTAGAATGGGGGCTTGGGTTCCCAAGATGGAGGAATTTGGGTGTGCTCTGTCCTCCTTATTTCTCCTTCTTCCTATCTCCATCTTCTGGGTGATGGTGGCACTTTTGGCTTGGTTTGAGGTAGAAACTCAGTGTCTAACATGGGTGATAGGTATTGGGAAGTTATTGTAAATAATGTAATGGTAAATAATGGCAAATAATATTATAGTCAATAATGTAATGGTAAATAATGCAATGGTAAATAATGTAAAATAATGTTATGGTAAATAATGGTAAAATAATGTTACAGTAAATAATGCAATGGTAAATAATGGTAGATAATGTTATGGTAAGTAATGTAATGGTAAATAATGATGAATAATGTAGGTTTTAGTATAAAAAGATAACACTGCCCCAAGGCTGGCCAGTGTGCCTCTGTCTGACCTGGGAAGGAGAAGGGGTTGGGAAGGTGGAGGGATTGACTGAGGAGGAGAAGGGTTGGGAAGAAGAAAGGATGGGAAGGAGCAGTGATTGGGAAGGAGAAGGGATGGGAAGGAGAAGGGACAGACCTACAGCAGGTTGGAGAAAGAATGTTATAGATAAATAATAAATAACCTTGAGAACAAGAACAGAAGAATTCTGACTTCTTATTTGACTGCCAGAAAAGAGACTGGGAAAAGAGACTTTTGTGTGTCTCAGAGTCACTGTGGGCAGCAGAGGCTCTGAGAGCCCGGGGCAGGCACAGGGATGGATGTGCTGGGTTCTGAGAGCTCAGAGATGGATGTGCTGGGTTCTGAGAGCCCAGGGATGGATGTGCTGGGTCCTGAGAGCCCAGGGGTGGACGTGCTGGCTTCTGAGGGCCCAGGGCAGGCACAGGGATGGATGCCCTGGGTTCTGACACAGAAGCAGCTCAGGGCAGAGTTTCGGAGCGTCGATCCCCCCAGCAGGAGCAGTCCCCCCCTGAGGAGGCAGCTCTGAGCCCAGGCAGACGAGTTGTTTTGACAGAGCTCTCACCAAGCTCTGTCT